TGAGAAGCATTGCATGTTTTTTAAACAATAAAATACTGTATGAAGTAAATAAATGTTACATGGCTTTTTCTTAAGTTCCTGGTTTGCATCATAGTCACAATTACATTCCTAGGTTATTCTAATCAATAAAAAAAGTAATAGGTAGGATGAAAGTGATACATTTGAAAGTGATACATTTTGCTCAGCTTATCCATATAACAATAATAATAATAATAATAATAGTATAATAATAATATAATAATAATATTAATAATTATTATAGGCCCCTGGGTGGGGCCCGACTAGTAACCAATGCCAAATCCGGCGAAACAACTGGCCGCTGTGATACAATTGTATAATAATAATAATAATGATAATATACGATCAGTTTTGTTAAAGAGACAAAATGTTTGCTTCAACTATTACATAGAGAAGTATACCTTTTCCACACTGGCACTATCTTGATGCAGTGAGACTATAGCTCTCAAAGCTGCCAGCCAGTAAGACTGAAGGCTGTGGGAATTCCAGATTGGGAAAGGCTGTTCAGTTTTAAAACAAAATGTTGCAACTAAAGAGAAGGCCTTTGAGATCAATTGAGTCACAACCACATGTTTTTGAATTCAAAATTTAGTCTACTCAAAGGAAGTTAAATGTAATTATCTGCTTTTTTCTTCTTCTTCCCCTCTTCTCAATGGACAGTTTTTTCCTACTACTGTATAGTTCTCTCTGAGCCAGAGGTGGGTTCCTACTGGTTCAGCCAAATCAGTAGTAGTATGCCTGCGTGGGTCGCAGAGCGGCAGCAACCCAGGCTGGCCACGCCCCCTGAACTGGTTCTGCGGTCACTGCCGTAACCATCCTTTTTTAGAGTTCTGCACATGCACAAAACAATTTCCATCGAATTGTGCATGCATGCGCAGCGCACATCCAGCACACGTGTGCAAAGCGTGCACATGAGCGAACTGGCAGTAACGCCAGCTAGAACCCACCCCTGCTCTGGGCTCATATACATAACCAGAAAATTATGCTTCATATGTTTTATTATCTATGTTATCTATATTATCTTTATTATCTATAATCTATGGTTTATATATGATAAAATGTATGGCTTAGCATGGCATGTGAACCTTGGTTTAAACCAGGAACAGCAAAGAAGCAGCGCTGACAAGGGATAAGGAAAGTTAGGAATTGCTGTTGTAAAATTATTTTATGAGTTCTCTTTCCAAAAAACACAATAAATTGTATTTGTACTAACTCAACAGAGATGAATTTATGGCCTTGTGACTGAGAATTAAGTTGTTTACATATTTTTGTCTCTCTTGAGAGACAGCTTAGACCCCTTTTTAAAAGTTTTCATTTTGTTTTTATAGTTGCAATTGTAATGCTTAATAAAACATATAAACATATAATTTAATAAAAAATTTAAAAAAGTGATGTGACCTGCATTTTTGAAGATGCCAATGAATTTTTAAAAAATCAAAATGCAAAAACAAAATCTACATTTTGTTTTGAAGAAAAATTGATTGTTGCCGATTATTCAAATAATTGAAATTTTTAAAAGAATAATTCCTTTGTTTCTGAAGATTTGCATATAAGAGAGTTCATTTTTAAACATTTAAAAAAAACCACCCTACAATAAAGAGATGAAACTACTCATTCCATATTGAAAATATCCATTTTTAGTGCAAAGCATTTTTATTGGTCAATCAATTTCATTTGAGAGAAATATCCCCCCCATGTTCTCAATTTTGTGTTACACTGTATTTAAAACATTTTGTACCCAGAGCAGCTTACAAGCAAACTATTGTTACAACCTACTTAGAAAGACAGCAGCATCAATGAATTACAAACTGCCAGTGGGATGTGAACTTCGCAATTCATTCTAAAAACCAATCCGTGAATTCTGCATTTTACTGGATGATCAAGCAATGTAACGGCAATATTATCCCCTGTTTCCCTGAAAATAAGACTTCTCTGGATAATAAGCCCTATCAGGGTTTTGAGCACATGTGCTAAAATAAGCTCTCCCCTGAAAATAAGCTCTTCCTGAAAATATTGTAACACAGCAGCAGCCATGAGGTGACCATGCTTGCAGCCTCCCGCACTTCAAAAATAATAATACCTCCCCCAAAATAAGTCCAAGTGCTTATTTTGGGGGTCAAAAGAAAATAAGACCCTGTCTTATTTTTGGTATGATCCAGAACAATGTTTATGTAATGTCTAAGGATTGCCTTTCTTTACATTTCTCTTCAGTTTAGGTTTTATATTCCACTGATCTGGATTCTTTTTTCAATGAACAGAATTTTACAATTATGCACAAATAATGTAATATAAATAAGTGACTACCCCAAGAATTCACTTTTAAAATCCACTGTATGGTGTAAGGTTTGATAATTTTTTTCTTTTGTTTCCCAATACCTATCCAGGAAAAGTGCCTCAACATGTCCAAATAATCAGAAGCACATCTCATTGTGAGATTGCATTATAAATGTTATCTCTTCTGCTTTCTTATGTACAAGGTTAGAAGTTTCTGAACTTGTTTTGGGGGAAAACATACTTAGCTGGGATGGAATCCCCTGGATATTAATAAACCTATAGTAAAAACTTGTATTTATTCATTTTTCAGGGTATCAGCCCATGATTGGGTTCCAGCTACTAACTCAATGATCTTCATATTAAATAGAATGACACTGAGATCTGTAAATCTCTTGGCCTAGCAGTAGCCATATGTAGAATCAATGGAGATGCACTCCACCATTAAACCTAAGAGAAAAGCTACACTTGTTTCAACTGCTGGCTCTCAATTTACAAACAACACTTTATGCAAATGCATCAGCTTGATAAATTTCCAAAAATATTAGGCCTATTCTAAAATATGTTTTCAAAGGAAAAGAAACAGCACCTGGCATAGTTCAAAATGTTTACTTTCAAGACAGTTTAATCAGGAGAAAGAAATCTTCTTTTCAGTGCCTGGCAAATTCATCTATAACAAAGAATTCAGTAAAGCCAACTTATCTGTCACTACCAATATGTCTTTCCCACTGGAAATACTTAATGCAGTCATGCGTATTGGATGACCAGTGTTAAAGCCTCAATTCTGCCTCCATATATTTGTTAAAGATAACAGAGGCAAATGAAAGTAACTGCAAACATGATTGTAGTGAAAGATGCAACATGGGAAAAGTAACTCCTGGCAGAATCTTCACGTGAAGCATCATGAGTGCCCCAGAATTTGCCACCAGGCCATACTGGCTTAGCTGCTATGATTTATAAATCAGCAACATACTCATAGGTTCCTGTTACCATGCATTTTTTTTACAGAGGCCATATGACCACCGAATGCTAAAGAATTCAATGGGATTCTATACAGATATACAGGTAGTCCTTAACTTATAATAACCATTCATTTAGTCAGTGGTGGGATTCAAATTTTTTTGCTACCGGTTCTGTGGGCGTGACTTGATGGACATGGCAGGGGAAGGATACTGTAAAATCCGCATTCCCTTCCGATCAGCTGGGACTTGGGAGGCAGAGAATAGATGGGGATGGGACCAGTCAGAGGTGGTATTTACTGGTTCTCCGAACGACTCAAACCTACCATTCTCCAGAACTCGTCAGAACCTGCTGAATACCACCTCTGCATTTAGTGACCATTTGAAGTTACAACAGCATTGAAAAAGTGTTTTTTGACCATTTTTCACACATATGAACCTTAGGGCATCCCCATGGTCAGGTAATTAAATTTTGGATGCTTGGTAACTGACATGTATTTATGACAGTTGCAATGTCCATTTAATCATCTTTTGCAACCTTCTGACAAGCAAAGTCACTGGAGGAAGCCAGAATCACTTAACAACTGTAGTGATTCACTTAACAACTGTAGAAAGAAAGATTGTAAAACAGGTCAAACTCATTTAACAAGTATCTTGCTTAGCAAGGAAATTTGGGGCTTAAATGCTGTAAGTCAAGAACTACCTGCACAGAATAGCATTTTTGGATTTTTATACTATCACCTTAGATTATATTCACTGCAGTTTCCGTATTTTTTGGAGTATAAGATGCACTGCAGTATAAGATACACCAAGGTTTTAAAGAGGCAAATTTTTTAAAAAAGTTTTTACACTCTGCAAACCTCCCAGAAATGGCCCATTTTTCCCCCAAAAAAGGGCATGCATAGCCTTTAGAAGGCTTATAGAGTGCTCCTGGGGGCAGGGGGGAGACAAAATTGAGCAAAAAACAGCCCAGTTTTTTGCTCATTTCTCCCCTTCCCACCAGCTCTCTGAAAACCTCCTAAAAGCTATGCATAGTCATTTTGGTGAAGGGGGCAGGGTTTTGGGAGGCAAAAAAATGCTGTATTCAGTGTATAAGTTGCACCCAGATTTTCAGCCTCTTTTTTGAGGGGGAAAAGGTGCGTCTTATACTCTGAAAAATACAGTATCTATTGCCCTCTCCCTTTCCCTGCAAAAATGAAAATTTATACTGCAAATCATCAAGAATATAACTAAGGCCATCATGTAGCATTTTACTTTTTAATATATAAAATTAAATACATAGAAAATCTACCTGCTCTTTAGAAGTACCTTAGATAAGAATTTCGGAGATAGCTTTACTTTGATTTTGTTTAAATAGAGGGAAAAAATTTATTAAACCCTTTAAAGGATTTGCTTCATTATGTACATATGCCCACAGTGCTATTTTATGATATAGTTTGTCAACTTTTGGGCACCACGGACTGGTTCCATGGAGAAAAGTTTTTCGGCAGACTGGAGTGGGCATGGTTTCACATGCTGCCTTGGTCCTGCAGATGGAGCTTCACTTGTTAGCATGGACCTGTTTCTGGCATGTCATGGACCAGTGCTGGTCCATGGACTGAGGTTTTGGAGTTGGGGATCCCTGCTCTAGAGCACTTTTTACAATCAAAAGGATCCTGGAATAATAATTGTAGAACTACAACTCTCTTTATTGTTTCAGACTGTTGATTGAAACTATTGAATGTATTAACCTCTGAATGTAATAACACATACCTGGGGAAGGTCTGGCTTCAGTCTTCTTAATGCACTTCCTGTAAAGTGCCTCGGGTTCAAATTACAGCTATACTCCCATTCACAAGGAGATGGGTATATTGATGTCTGGTCCCTAAATTAATAATAATAGAAGAACAATGTAAATTGTCAATGCAATTAATCAAGATGAAGCTTGAAATATTATCAACTAAAGATTTGTAATAACTTTTAAATTATGCTATGCAGGACACAATTCTGCCTAGCAAATTAATATAGAAAACATTTCTCTTTTTTGACAGATCTCTTTGGTTGTTTAATACTATTCATGATAATGCCACACATTTATACTACAATTTAAAAAAATCAATGTAACAATATAAATATGTCTGTTAGAACCAGATCTACTGATACACTAGCTTCATATGTATAAATTCCCATGGAAAAATAACTAGGCTCACATATTGTGCTAGGCTACAATTCAGTTTTTTTTAGAGCAGCATGATGTGAGAATCTATCCATTGTGGCTTAGCAAATACTATGAATCAAGCTTTTATTGTTTGTCCATCACACCCTGGCTTTAAAACACTCCAAAAAGAACACTGAATTATTCAAAAAACCAAGACTGAAAAATTGTAGCTCAGTGTAATGTCTGAATTCAGCCAATGTCTGAATTCAATCTTTGAAATATCCTGGAGTAGGAGTAGCTAATACTTACAGTAGATCCATTTTGTCAAGAAGCATGGCATGATAAAATTATAGGAAGTCAGAATGTTTCTAATCATTGCTACCTGTACTGTATACTGAAAGAACAAGGCCTGAATCGACAGGTACATTCAAATCTGTTAGCTTTAGAGTTAAAATAAATTCAGAAATATGGGAAGGAAGGAAAGGAAGGAAGGAAGGAAGGAAGGAAGGAAGGAAGGAAGGAAGGAAGGAAGGAAATGCAATACTAGGAAGAGAATACAAACTAGATCAAATCTAGTTATTGATCCAAACAATTTTATATTTTATGTTTTAAGAAGTATTTATGCTTATAATAAATACTATAATAATAGCACTGAAAAATGACTTATGACCATTTTTCATACTCTACTATTGAAGCATTCCCATGATCACATAATCAAAATTTGGATGCTTGACAACTAGTATGTATTTATGTTGGTTGCAGTGTCCCAGGGCTATGTGATCACCTTTGGCAAGCAAAGTTAATGAGGAAGCCAGATTCACTTAACAACAATACTAATTTAACAACTGCAGTGACTCACTTAAGAACTGTGGCAAGAAAGCTAATAAAATGAGTCAAAACTCATTTAACAACCATCTTAGCAACAGAAATTTTAGGCTCAATTATGGTTGTAAGCTGAGAAATCTGAATATACACATTGAACTCCTGGTCATTCTGCTGTTCAGGTGCTATGGTAGTTGTTGATGGATAGCTTCAGGGTTTCCATGCTTTCTGTTTTATAATTCTCAGCCTTGAAACTAGCTTATCCCTTTCCCCTTTGAGTTGTTCGCCGCCCTGAGTCCCTCCTGGAGAAGGGCGGCATACAAATAAACCCAATAAATAAATAAATAAATAAACTCTTCAATAGAAGATTTTTGTCTGTATTGTCACATATACAGCCACCCTGTGATGGAAAATGGAACACAGGAATATAACACCAGGACACCTCTAGATAGTATCTTCAGAAGTAAAAATAAATAAACATTATATAATTCTTTTAATGACAAAAATATCAAAAGCCTACCACATTTCACAAGAATTTTCATATGGGATCTTGCAAGATTACAGAGAAAAGTGAAAATCCTGCACAACTGCCATTACTACATGAAATTGTGCAAGTGAGATTGCTGAAATCTTGCGACATTTTGGATATAGATTTTTTAACAAATCAATGTCATTACATAGTTGTGCATAGTACTTGGAAGAAGTTGCTCACTCTTGGAGAAGAGGAACAGGCACCTCCCTAAATCTAGTTGTTAATTCAAATGAAAAGTACTTTACAAGGGGTTAAAGAAAGGAAGCTGTGAGCTCCCACTCTGGAACAAATTTCACCTGGAAAACAAGTTCTAGAAATGAACTTGGTTCATACTGAGCTCAGCCATATAATCCCAGATATTTGTTCAACCAGGCACTTTACAAGCACTCTAAGCATAATTTCTTTATTTAAGCCGGTCATATATAATGATTTCAGCCAATTCCAGGCCCACTAACCACTTCTCCTCAGCTTCCTACCTACAGGCATTTCCTGTAGAGCTATGTCAATTAAGTCTAACTTTTAATTAATTCCAAGCCTAGTATGTAGGCTTCTCTCTTTCTCTTTGGCTGTTTTTTTCTCCATCCATCGACTCATTTCATAGAGTGCCATTAAAAGGATAATTCACCTTCTAGCACCCTTGCTTATTCATAGCTTTGTGATGAACAACCAGCTGGATGACTCTGATCCTTTCCCACCACACCCTAAACAGAACTGGACTGTGCTTGTTAACCAGGAAATTTCCAACTTTATGTAATTATGAAAGACCTATATATACACATACATCCCTATAGTAAATTACTTCTTGCAATCTTTATTTCACAAATCAGAAGCATGGTGATATTGTCACCATTTGTATCTCTATTTTATTTAGTAGGCTGCATTTAGTTTCCACCCCAAGCTAACAACGCCAGAGGAATTACATCCTATACACCTTTTATACAGTACATCCATACACCAAATTATCCAAGTCTGCAATCTCTCAATGTCCATGACCTTGATTTCAAGACATGCAATTTTTGGCTTTGTTGCTTGGACATATCAAGACCTGGGGAGGGCTTCAAAAGTTCCAGCAAAGGGTTCATTGCTGCATTGCTGGGTGACCATGGTCATGGTGGGTATGGCCTAGTTGGCCTCCTGCCCCACAGCGGGGGTCAGTTTCATTTTCGAGCGTCCAGGAGGGCAAAAACTGCTTCCCCCAGGCTCCGGAGGCCGGAAACAGGCCCATTTTTTGCTCGCTCCGAGGGCCCTGCACTTATGCATGATGAACGAGCCATGTGGAGACTTCTGGGAGGGGAAGGGAGGGGTGGCATTTGGGGGTTCGCCAGACCGGGCAGAAACTTAGCTAGAGGATCACCCAAACCTGTGCGAATCCCCAGCAGCTCACCCCTGTCAATACCACAAAAAAGTTCAGCTAAGTTTAACAAACGTACCATCCATTAATTTTCAGCCCTCCCCCCGGGTATCAAAAAGACATTAAAAATAACAACAGGTTTTCTACAGAGATATTTGTGCTGTTCTGATCACACTACCTATATGCTGCTCCAAGGTTAATTAACTATTAAAAAAATAAAATACAGTTATGGCCTGCTTCATATCTAAGTCTGCTCTACATCTTTCAGAAGGACTATCAATTTATCTGCAAGTTTACCCACCTGCAAATTTGGTGAAAGGCACTGACATACAAATCTACAGCTAACCTATACAAACACACAAAGCTTTAGATTTCTTATCCTGCTTGTGTACTTTATTCTGAAATCCATATTTTAAGAATAGTTTGAGAAGGAACAATGCAGCTAAGGAATAGGGATTTCCCCCAACAGAGTCTACAGGATAACCTCAAGGTCAGTTAAGAAAGATATTTTATCTCTGAATCTCAAAATGGGGAAAGAGAACCTACTGAATTTCTGATTAAGCCCCAATAATTTGCCATATATCACTTAAAGCAGGGGTGTCCATCCTTAGCAACTTTAAGACCAGTGGACTTCATCTCCCAGATTAGATGCTCCCAAAGCATGGCTGGCTGGGGAATTCTGGGAGTAGAAGTCATTAAGTTGCCAAGGTTGGATACCCTGAACTAAAAAGCAGAGAAGAATTGACAAGGAAACTGTTCTATGGGACCAGTAGGCTGCTCTGAGCTCCAGGATGGGAAAAGGGAGGGATATAAAGATATTAGTCAAAGAGAAACAGGCCACAGAAATTTTCCATGCTCTGCGTCTCAAAACTGTATAAAGCTATTATAGGCACATTTTTAAAACAGTCTGCAGAATACAGACTGCAAAGTATGTTTTAAATAAAAAGTGATAAGCAAGCCAAAACAAACCAAAACCTACAGTATATATGAGCTGAAGTTGAAAATATTCAGCTTTTCTTTATTGTCAACAACAATCTTTCTGAAGTTGCTAAATTACAATCACTTCTTGGTAGACAATTTTTTTTCAAATCTGTTGCCCTTCTGAATCCAAGGACCTTCCATTTTAAGGAAAGATTTAATCAGACAGGGATATTTCAAAAGAAATAGGGCCTCCATTTTGTTCTAAAATTCTGTACGGCTCTATGAGTGTACATTTTATTGCACAGGATGGAGATCCTGTATAACCAGCAGTGAACAAGAAAGTTGCACTGCCTTTGATACTGATTTATCAATTTACTCTATTTTAGAACAGACACAGAGAATTGTACCCTGAAGCTTAGTTCTGGGTGTGCAAAAGTCTGACCTTAACATGTTACAACCATCCTCACAATACAGATGACCTCATTTCAAAGAGAAAATCATAAATAACAAATCATTTTGAGATGTAAATAACACAGTGTAGTAGCCCTTGCTTAGTGATCACTGTGACCAGCAACTCCGTTGCTAAGCACCATGGTTGCTAAGTGGAAAATCACATGACTGCGATGGACTCACAATATCACTTCCCATTTGGTTAATAAAATGAGTCATTTCCTGATGACGACTTGCGATTTTGATTCCATGTTTTTCATTAATCCTGTTTATTGGAAGCTGGTTGTGAAGCACAAGAGTGGTGACCATGTGATCACATGATGCTGCAATAGTAATAAATGTAAGGATTGGGGTTTTTTTTAACAGTGTTGTAATTTTAAATAACCACTAAACAAGGTAGCCAAGTAAGCAAGGACTAGCTGTAATTCATCACCATATTTTTCCCATTTATATTAGGTTTTAGCCCATTTGTGTTTTCCAAAGCTATTTTTTCTGATTCTTGAATGAAGGCAACTTGAATTTGAGTTGGATCCTTGCAGCTATTGGAATTCCAGATAATGCTGACGCTGAATTAAAATTAACACTCATTCACAATACCACTCTTGATAAGACTGCTTGATAGAAAAAACATTCAAATGTTTACTCCTACAT